AATATCAAAATTAATTTATATTTTGTTTTTTAACTATAGCAACAAAAGCCAGACAGTTCCTAACTCCTTCTTTGAAAAGACCTAGAAATAAGTGATAACCTAGCAGCAGCAAACGCTACTCTGATCACCCAGATTGCTACTATTTCCTGCTAAAAGGTATCAGAGCTTTTTGAAGAAATCTCTGGTCGCAGCGAGTCTGGGACCGCACAGTCTAAGATCACATGAGTGTGGCACCAGTGTCAGTGTAAAAGGTCCCTGAACAAAGCGTTAACCTGGCGCTTCCACAGGAATGACTACCAGGGATTGAACACACTGAGTGTATAATGGTCAGTGAGTTCATGGTTAGAGCAAGCAAACAAAAATATCAAATAAAACAAAATATCATTATTAGCTTCCCTTTGACAATGAGAGGATACCAATACCTCCCCCTGAAAATTGGTAGTAAATCGGACTGAATTAAGCTCTTATCCTGCCGGCCCTAAGTAACCAAACATCCCTGGTCAAAAAGGGAAAGTTCTTCTCTACCAAGGAATTGTAGTTAAGAAATGTAGAGGGAATAATAGAATTTTAATGATTGGTTCTGTCAGTGGCCATCACTTAAGATTAAAGTGATGGGTAGGGCTGACGGAAAGGCAGCCATGGAAGAGTCGGGCTGCCCCCGTCTGAGCCCCACGGTAAGCTTCGTAGGAAGTCGGATTAACAGGCATTATGGCCTCCTAATGGGATGCAGTATGAAATGTACAACAGCCTGAGATATTCCTTCCAGAGAGTTGATCTTTATTAATCCTTGAGATCTAACTTTCTAGTTTACAAAAGTAAAAGCAGATAAGGGAAGGTAGATAGAAAAACATAATACCATGGGGAGAAATCCTGAGTGAGGCAGAACACAGAGACAGTCCATTAGCTTCCTTCGATATGCCCGTGGCTTGGTGGCTGACTCACTGCTGATCAGACTGTGAGTTTCGTGAGGACAAAGGACGTCCTCTGTTCATCTTTATATTGCTAGTCTCTTCAAAATATGTAACACTTGGTAAGTGCTAAATAAGGGGTGTGTGTGTGTGTGTGTGTGTGTGTGTGTGTGTGTGTACGGGGGGCTGAACCCAAGGCCTTTGGGCTGAGCTACTTCTGCCCTTTTTTAACTTCTAATTTTTTTTCCTTTTTTTTTTTTCTTCAGTACTGGGGATTGAACTGAGGACCTTGTGCTTGCCAGGCAGGTGCTTAATCTGCTGAGCTATCTCCCCAGCCCCTTTTAATTTTGAAACAACATCTTGCTAAGTTGAAAAGTTTGGGCTTGAGTTGTGATCCTTTTGCTTCAGCCCCACAGAGCGCTAAAGTTACAGATGTGCAGCACTATGCCCAGCAGTAAGGGTCCTTGAAAGAAGGATCATAAATATGAATAAGCCACAGTTTCATTACCCGTCTCATGGGGTTGGCAGACATGCCCCAATCCTAGCCTCAGACTGTAGCAGCTACTTCTACGTTAGTTTGTAATTTGTTTAATTCTTTAAAAGTTATTTTTAAAGTATCCTAATGAGTTGGCAACTGGTCAAATAATTATTATATCTTATTAATTACACTATTGTACATGAAAGAACAATCTGTAAAAAGTGGCATTTTCTAACCTCTCAGAATTTACGTTCTGTGAAGACAGCCTGACCATGGTAAATAATAAATACAAACATCGCATGAATTTTCTTCATTCTTCCTTTCTCGACAGACAGACAGACAGACAGACAGACACACACACACACACACACACACACACATGAACCTAGGGTCTCATATGTGCCTGGCAGGTGCTCTACCACTGAGCCAAACTTCCAACCCTGTTTATAGTTTTGAATCTCCATATATAGAACTTCCCTTCCAGTTCTGAGAGATAGTACAGGGCTCAGCAGGCCTCTGAGAGGCAGGGTAATCAGCTGCCTTCCTGTCTGGCTGCTACACCCCAGGAGCCAATACTCTTCTGCTTATTCACCCCAGAGCCAGGTATTAGGCAACTAGGGGTCAGCCCTATAGCTGACAGTCATGCAGTGCACAGCCCACCTGAATTATGTGAGCTAGCCAATCCTTAACCATTTGCTGTGCCATGTTTTGCCTTTTGTCTTAGTTATTTTCTTTGTTGAAGGGACAAAATATCTGACACCTACGACCTAAGGACAGAGAGGCTTATTTTAGCGCTTAGCCTGTAGAGGTTTCAGTCCACAGTCAGCTAGCGCCAAGGCAGGGTGGCATGGCAGAGGGGCTTGGCAGAAGAGAAACAGCTCACAGCGTGGCTGCAGGAAGCAAAGAGAGCTTAACAGAGGAAGGAGGGAGATGTAGCCCACCAAGCTGTGCCTGCAGTGACCCTCCTCTTCCAACCCTGTTTCACCCCAGCATCCCATTTAGCACATACCCACGGTCCAGTCACCCTCAAACCCCACCTCTGAGCACATGAGGTTTAG